AACAAATAATGTACAAATTTCAATCTCAATTCTCAATAATCAATTTTTAATATCTAAATCTCAGCTATCAAAGGCAACATTTAAAGTCTCAATAATCCAAATTTCATTAATTCATAGTAAATTAGTAACCAAAGAACTCAACAATTCCTAGTCCAAAAACAACCAGAAACTAGAATAAGCAAGCTAATTACAAGCAAAAACCCAAATCCTTAATAGAAATGCAAACTACCAAGTATACCCCAGAAAAAAACAAAAAAACCTAAAAATACAACGAAGTATTTCATAAAGTCCTAAACAATTTTAATACTCTACATCGAGAAATGGAATAAAAAAAAATTAATAAACCAATCCCTCCTCCCATTTAGTTTCTAGGGGACTAACAAAACATTTAAGCACATTCTTTGCAGTTAATTTCTAGCTTATCGCCATACAGCAACTTGAATTATACTATTACACAACAACTAAAGCCCTGTAATTGATTTAAAATGACCAAATGACTAAAATGTTACACTAGTTCTACAATAAACATTCTGCATAAAAGTAAAAATCATGCATTTCATTCTCCAAAAAAGAAAAATCCTTCATTTTCAATTATTCAATTGCTTTGGTACTCAAACCGGATGCTATTGGAGTAAAAAGCCAAGTAGCAAAAACCAAAACCCAACTGTTACCTTATAACGCAAAAATAAAGCGAAATTGAAGTGGTTATATGTAGAAAAAAAAAAGTGGATGAGAGAAGCATTAGTATTACCAGAGAAGCCAAGGGAATGGACAGGGTTGACAGGAGAGAGAGCAGAGAAGGAACGCACAAGCTGAGGGCACTTGGTAGAACGACGGCGACATGGTAATTTAATTGAAGAAGCTGTGGAAGTCACTGGCGGCAGAGCTGACTTTAAAGATAGCATGCTCCATCCACTACTTCCACTGTCTGTTGTTATTGCCATTGCCATTATCGCTTTGGGTATTTCTTGGCTGACCCTGGAAAACTATTGAAGATGGAATGGACAAGGAATTTCGTTTTTAGAAGAAACTGATTAACAATTGAAGAAACAGTGAGAGAAAGAATTTGGGGCTTACCTGAAAGACGGAACTGGATAGAGTTTTTCAGAGAGTGAGGCTGGTTCTATAACAATGCTGTGTAAATTCGCTGTTTTGCCCTTTGGGCGAAGAGTTACAAAAGGGCTCCAAATTTTGTTTAATGGACCGTTGGGTATGAGCATCGGCCAGACGTCCATCATAGTCGTTTTTCACTTTCTACACTTATAAAAACAGATATATATATATATATCCTTCATTCCAAAGTATTGATCTTTAATTATACAAAAATTTATTAATTTTTAAAATAAATATTTTATTTTAAAAATATTTTTTTATTAAATATATAAATCTAATCATTAATCAATCATTAGTGTTCTGTCAATGGAATGATATGATAAAAAAAAAACTAATTTTATCATTAATTAATTTTTAAAATTATTATTATATAATTTTATTTTTTTTTATTAAAAAAAAAAAAGCTTTCATCTAGGGAGCTCAATCGAGCTCCCTAGGAGCATTGGTGCTCCCCTTTTTGGGAGAGCTAAGTTTTTTTTATTTTTTAAAAAATATATATAATAATAACTTTTTAAATTAATAACAAAAATATTTTAATTTTTTTATAATTTCTATTAATTGTGTTTGTATTTTTGAGATAAAGTGTTTATTTTGAAAACTAATGGATTCATTTAAAATTTTGATTAAAACTTTAAAACAAAAGAGTATTTTATCAAAAAAAATAATTTAAGAATAAAAATCTATGTCAAACGTCACATTCGCAATCGCTATAATAAAGTTCATCCTATTGTAAGATCAAATAATAAAATTATACAAAAATAATAAGATATTTATTAAACAGGTCAAGTAAATAATGTGTGTAATATATAACTTTATCGATTTTATACTAAATGTTAAATTTAAAAACTATTATTCAAGATTAATATTGTAAAACTCACCTCCATAGGATAGATTTGTGAATTTGATTAAAGAACGTGATATTTTCATCAACTTACAGATATAACGAGTAGATTCGAATTGTAATATAAGATTTGAAATTTCAAATACAAACACCATATCATACTAAAATATTTGATTTATTTCAAGTGTCTCATCTCAGCTTTTCTTTCTCTCCCCTCTTTCTCTTTCTTTTAAACCTTTACTAAACTAACTTAGGTATGGGGAGAGAATCACTATAAAGCCTCCAATGCCCCATTCCTTAGTCAAAATGCCAAGCTCCAATCATCCAAACCGATTCAGCTCAAGTCCAACTCTCAAAAGACAGCAACATTAATTTTGCCAAATCACACAAAACAAAAACATAATTCCTTAAAAGACTAGACATATGAAACTAATGCATCAATAACCCTTTTTATTTATAGGAATTAATTAACTTATACTAACTTTTTTTATTAAGAACAAAAGATCTTATTAAAAAATTTTATGTATTTATATTATCTCCTAAGTTACGGATATATCATTTAAATGTTGAACAAGTTTTCATCGTCAAAGAAGTCTTGAAGAATCTTAAATCATGCATTCAAATCCACTTATATACTAACAAGTAATACATAAGTAATTTGACTATATTCTCATTGAGACCCTTTTTTTTTCTTTGTTGGGTTTTCTATCTTAACAAAACCTTTAAGACAAAGAACTTAGAAACAAATAGGTGAAATTATTTGCTTGCCTAGAGATTGCATTGCCAAGTTTACTTTGGGGACAATGGCTGATGCCTTTACTTAAGGCTCAGAAAGGTAAATATCAAACTGGTTTAATATATACACAAATACATAGTACAGCCGCAGGCATATAGGCTTCCAGAGAATCTTGTGGCTTTTTCTGTAGACAATCAACAAAATCCTCATCCAAACCTTGGAGTTATATGAGCTTTTAATGGATATTTCATCACCGTAGTGAACTCTTGTTTCTCAGACAAGTCTACATCATCTCCATGTACAGCAGTCCACTCGACCTGCCAAACCAAATTTGCCACAAAATATTCTAAGTGAAGCATGGCCAAAACAAGGCCATGGCAAATCCTCCTTCCAACACCGAATGGCATCATTTTAATATCCCTACTTCCAGTTAAGTCAAAGGCCTCCCCTCCCTTTTTCCTGGCTACTCAAAAACCTCTCTGGCTTGAATGCCATAGAATCTTCCCACACGGTTGAGTCACACCCAATCTCTGCTACCATAAAATTCAATGTCCCATTCTTAGGCACCAAGCAACCATTCAAAACTACATCTTCGGTCGCCGCGTGAGGTAGTACTAAATGTGCAGGAGGGTGACGCCTTAAACCCTCTAAAATAACAGCTTTGAGATATGGCATCTGATGTAGATCTTCCTCTTTCACCATTTCTGCTCCCTCTCCGACAACCCCTTTAATTACCCTATATAGCTTTTCTTGAACATTTTGATACTTGACCAAATTTGCCATGATCCATTGCAAAGCTGTTGATGTAGTATCTGTGCCTGCATCAAGAAACTCTGGGCAAAGAGTAGCCATTTCTTCTTCCTTTAGCTTTCTCTGATCTTCTGGAAGCTGTAAATCAAACAAAGTATCAACACATGCTAACACATTTCCATCTTTCTCTTGTTTTACTTTGTTGAGTTCTCCTCCCTGATGTTTCTTCTTGATCTTATCAGAGGGATCAAAACCTCTTCTTGCTTTCTTCTTACTTGCAATAACTCTTTCCATCTTTTGTGAAATATAATTTTTGTCACCCTTGGCCAGAAGTTCAGTATATTGAATCTATCAATATTCAACAGCAAGCCACGATGGACTTCTTCAATTCTTTTTATCTGTTTTGATTCGAGCTTGTCACCAAAACACATTAGTGCCAATAGGCAAAACATAGCATATTGGAAATGCTTTAGTACATAAACTGGATCACCTGATTTATACTGGGACTTGAAGCAATCTAACAGGATTCTTAGTACCCAGTTTCGTGAATGAGAGTAGGATTTTATACATGAAGGATGGAGGATTTCAGATGTTAGGTTGCGTCTCAGGAGGCGCCACATAGGGCCATAGAAGGCAGAGCTGATGTTGAAACATTTGTTGGTGACGAGGGGTTTGGGGCGATTAGCGAAAACAGCACCATTTTGGAGTAAGACCTGGTGAGCTAAGGCACGACCGGTAATGAAGATGGCAGGGCGGAAGCCAATACAGAGGGTTACTATAGGGCCAAATTTAGCATGGATGGATCGGAGGCTATGCTCAAGTTGAGAAGAAGACTTGCGGAGCCATAGGAAGTTGTGAATGATGGGGAAGGTAGAAGGCCCGGAAGGAAGATTGTAGGAGGGTTCCCTGGTGGCGAAAAGAAGGTTGAATATGGATTTGATGAGAGCAAAAATGCAAATGGAGATGAGGATGATGAACCATGTCTCCATTTTGCTCCAGCTAGGTTGTGATTGGTTGTAACGGAGTAAAGGCCTATTTAACAGGAAAAATGGAAGAAATGTTTGATTAATTTGATGTTGAATTTGTACAGGGATTGTTCACTCCTGGTTGATGAATAAAATGCTCAATTTTCAAAAAAAAAAAATTTGATGTTGAATGACTTGGTTGATTATCAATGTCCTGTTACGAAGACATCAGGTTTCCCAATGTCCTGTTGGCCTCGCCTTTGTGTCTGTTTTTGGCATTGTTATCAGAAAAAACCTATGGAGAACAAAATGTGAACTGCACTGTTTGGTCCCATTGCAAAAGTTCCAGGTGCTTATGACAAACTACAGCCTTTCAGTTAAAGCACTTTCCAGCTTGAATTGTGACTGCCAGTCCTAGATATATTCTACTACTTTATCAAGTACATATTGCCATGGATTCTTCATTTCAATTTTCCTTTTTATTCCCCTCAAGAAAGAAGAGATTTGCAAAATCATGAGTCATGAACTTTTCTTCAAAGACTGAGATCATCAAGGCCTTCCTTTGTTTCAGATGCATGAAAATATTTTCCAAATTCTCACTTTACAGAACAGGGTCTGGAGTACATCATGGCAATTCATTGGGGAAAGAATGTTATTTAGTCCCTCAATCCAGATTCTTCCACTAATTAGTTGTCTACACTAAATTGTCTTTAAGGAAGATGATTTTTATAATGAATCCAAGAAGTTGGAGTTTACATTGATGCGTTAATTTTGGTGATACTTCATCTTCAATCACTATGTTTTCTTATAGTGTCGAATTTTTGGATCTTATGCTGTTTGGATGGGTAGAATACAAGCAAAGAAAGCAACAAATCATATTGTCTACTCGTAAAACAAACTTTGATAAGCAGAGAAATTATTTTTCTGATTGCATCATGAATTCTAAATCATATGAGCATTTTAGCAAATTTAGTTCATATGGGCATTCATCGATCTGCCCTTCGCATTGGTGGAGCTAACCACTTTTTGTTGAGATCAAAGACAAAAGAGGAAAAAAAGTTAAAAATTTTTAAATTTAATACATTGAATATAATAAATAATCAAAAAATTTATAATAAATAATAATTTTATATAATAGATAAATAAAAAAATATTTATAATAATTTTTAAAAAAGTTGTACATAATGTTTGAAGAATGAGTTGTAGTAAAAAGAGTAAAATAAAAACAAAAAAATAAAAAAGAAAAGAAAGACAAAAAGAAAGAGAGAGAAAGATCTGGTGATCCCCAAAGGAGCACCAACGCTCCTATAGGAGCTTGATCTCTAATGGGGCGGTCCAAAATTATTTTTTTTTAAAAAAATAAAATTATAATTTATTTAATAATAATTTTTAAAATTAATAAAAAATAAAATTATTTTAAAAATATTATCATGTTATTAAATTAATAAAAATATTGACGAGGACTTACGTGTCAAATAAAAATAGTTTTTTAAAATAATATCATTTTAAAAACTAAAAAACTTTCATATAATTTTAATCAAAATTTAAAAATATCTGAATATTTTACCTTAAATTTAATCTATGGCATTAAGTAAAGTAGTTAAATCAGACCTTATCCTTTTTTTTTTCCTATTACACTTGTCAATATTTCCACCAAAACAAAGAGTATCTTTGGCAAGATTAGCCCTTGGATAGTCATGTTAATCATCACTAATAAACAGAGGTTCTTTGTTAAGCAGCCCTTTCTGGCCTCGTGAATGAAAATGTCCCGTTGCAACACTATGATATCTTGTATATTATCAAATTCACATTAGTTTTGGTGTTTTCTTTCTGTGTCCCTAGTCTTGACGGTGCAAAACAATATTATCAATTTCTCAGATGGTTCCACCATATTGCTGCAAAGCTTCGCCCAGAAATGAATAATTTGCATCAATTATTGTCTGCATCTCACTTACATAGACAAACAGAACTTCTCCATTTTAAAACAATCATGTTATGTTAGGGAGAAACTGAATTTAAAATTAATATAAAAACATTCAACTAGTTGTAACTTGTAAGAGCAGAGAGACAAAAGATCATAACCAAGGCTCATAGGAACAGATCAAAAAACTTAGGCAGTTTTTTCGTTTTAACTGAAAATGTTCTCTAGGCCTTTATTCAGGTATTTTAGTTGTAACAATATACAGGAAAAGAATCTAAAAACAATTGTTAGCCTTTTTTTTTTCTGCCTCATTCTCATTTTTGCCCTTTCTCCTAATGAAATCAGGTTCCGATTCTGCTACAACCAGACACAAGCCAATACATGAATTTGTTCCCAAAACCTTAAAAAATGGATAGCTACACAAGCCCTCAAGGTACTAATCCTGACTAGATAATGCATACCTGAGCCCAATAATTGACATGTGAGAGACAAGTCATCAATGAAATTAACCGAGTTCAATCCTCATGTTATACAATTCGTAGTGGTATCAACAGTGATTCAGCTTTTATCGATGTATTGCAGATCAGAGAAAGCAGCAATACTCAAAAACAAAAGGACATAAAGTTTCTGAAGTGTAGCTTTACATGTGGGAACTGTGGATCATACATTTACAAAGGACAAAACAGCATTCCATCAAGATGTCACGGGGAAGACTTCATGGAGGGATTTGAATGTGTCCAAGCCAATGACTTGAAATGCAAGAATTAAGATTTATACGGTTGATTTAGTGCCTTGCTTTCCAAAGTTTGAACTTTCTATGCATTTTTTATTGGGATGCTGTTTAGTAATTTGCTTTATTTGCATAGCTCTAGGATCGAATGTTCTGAAGCCACTACTCATTCAACAAGCTAAAAATAAGCAATTCAATGAAAATTTGATTTGACCTAGGGAGTCAAATTCAAACCAGATTCATGTAAATGCATTTAAGGGAAAAAATTTGGAGGCTACAACTAGCTTTGACTGGTCAAAATAAACCTTTGCAAGATACAGACAACATAGAAAACGAAGAGCAAAACAGACGTCAACTTTGCACTTCCCTGAGTATGCAGAACAAAAAAAAAGTAGTATTTATGACGGTTAATTTATTATTAAATATGAAGGAAAGTTCAAAGACAACACAATAAAAGACAACTTTTTTCCATTCTTTTCCAAAAGACAATTTGCATGACAAGAATACAGGAAATGCCATAGAAATTTCGGGACACCTTGACATAAAACCAGAATGCCTTGTCTTCTGTGAAAGGCTTAAATTGTGTGACAGCAATCACGTTGGTTGCCTGTTATTCATGGAGAAGTAACTCTCAAGGTTGCCCCATTAACAATTATTCCACATTAAATAAATTCATAAAGTCATATGGTATCTATCTAAAGAACAGAGAGTTTTACAAGACATATATAGCATACACGCGGGGACAGGATATTTAAAGAAATATAGTATTTAATTTCTTGGTAGAAAATCAAGACCTTATCCCTCCCTTGGTGAAATGTGGGCCCGCAATGGAGTCTTCATCACTGTTGTGAACTCCTGCTTCTCCTCCAGGCTAATCTCATCTCCATCCATGGCCTTCC